TAGTAGTCACCTCTACACCATACTGGTGCCTATATAGGATATCGGTGTACAGTTACAACCCATATAAGGACCACATCCTTAAAGAAATCTTTCATGAACCCCCTCTTCTGGCCTTCAAACAACAACCTCGCCAAGCTCATCATCAGAAGCAAGCTTCTGGCAGACCGGGACTGACCAACTCAAAGCAGCACCAGACCCTGTCATAACAACAGATGCAAAATCTGCAGACATATTTCCACTGTTACGATTATCAACACCCCGCACAACACACCTTTCAAGAACCACGGGTCCTACACATGCCTATCACAACACATGGTGTACCTCATCCAGTGTATCTCACAACACATGGTGTACCTCATCCAGTGTATCAAATGCCCCAACAACAACTATGTGGATGACACCAAACAATTGCTATGCTTTTGAATGAACTCTCACAGAAAAATAAAAGACAAAGACACCCTATCATCTAGGGGCAAATACTTTTCATGAAATGATCAGTCCATATCTGACCTCTCAGTCCTTGTCCTCACAGGAAACCTGGCCAACCTCTTCAAAAGACAAGGCTGGGAGCTTAAATTCATAGGTCTGCTGGATACTAAAGTTATGGACACAATATTGACACTAGCTGTTGTAATGAGACACAAAATCTGTAACTCATTAACCCTCCTTTGTATTATGACTGCAGAGGTGTTAGTTGCTCACTTCATCTTGAATTGTCTCTTGCAATATGTGTTAACTGCTTATGCTTAACAAACTGTTCCACCTTGAAACTCTAATTACCTTTCCCAGACCTGAAGAAGAGCTCTGTGTAGCTCAAAAACTTCACCAATAGACGCTGAATTAATAAAAGATATAACTTAGAGAATATTTTTTCACTTCAAGGTCCCAGAAACACAGACAAGGTTTTCATCTCAAGGCCAAAAGACCAAAAACATCAAGACACTTGATCACGGCCTTGGATAGACCAAGAGACTACTTACACTTGATCTTACCTCACTAACCTTGTCTCTCTCCTATCCTAGAACCAATAGTGCTACAACAACACTGCAAACAGTTTCTTACTCTGAAAGATAGTGTAGTCTTACATCAGTTCGTATGTAGCTGTATACACTCAGGCAAAACATTTAAACATCCCAGCATGGGTATTTCCATTTAAATCTGATTACAGTGAAATAAAACTATAGCTATTAAAGGCTTAGGAGAACTACAAATACAAGCAGTAAAAAAAGACAGTTAGTAAATGAGGTAGTAAAACATTTGAGCAGGGCAAACAGTTTATAGCGCTCAGCCTTCCTGTAGCAGACTGTTCTATTCACTACAGACCCATGCACTGTTCCCTGAACTGCACTTAAACCTGCAATTAACCTTTCATGCCTAATGAAGCTGTTTTGCTGGAAAATTAAAATATATAGTACTGCCTGCTTTTACAGAGACTGGGAGGAGAGCATCTCAAAATGAATGACTTTTCAGAGGCTTTTTGTTGAAAAGCAAAATTAAAGTGCTGTGTTTGTATACAAATTGAGAATGCACTTTGCAAGGCAATCTCATTTGATGTGCTGTATTTTATTCCTGTACTTATTAATTGTTTTGCATAATTGTTAAAACAACAACAACAGTATACCCACACACCAGTAATTTTATGATTAGGCAGTTACTGCTTGACAATCAACTATTACCATTTAACTTCCATTAGGAAAGATTATATTTCTAAAAAAAGATAACCAAGTTCATATTGTTTTCTCTCATATTTTTCTCATTGTGAATGCATTTGTCTTTAAAAACCTGTATACTTTACAGTGACATATTTGGCAGAAGTCCCTTTTAAATTACCGTATCTTTCCATGCATATCTGTAAAACAAGTTACAGATTGTTTTTTCCAACAAGGATTATGAAAATAACCTGACCTAGTTCTATGCAGCTAAAACCAATTGGACTTAAAAATAGATCTAGTTCTGTGACTGGACTTGAATTTCCAGACCTCAGACCATTAGAGATTCGTCTCTGTGCCTGGATGCTCTTTACTAGTGCCCTACCCACAGATAAGAAGAAACGAGATAATGTTGTGGTTTGGCAAATATTAAGGCTATGTCAGAAAATGTATGTCGCTCAGGGGTATGAAAAAAACACCCTGCAGAGCGACATAAGTTTCGCCGGCATCAGTGGTAGTGTGCACAGCGCTACATCGGCGGGAGAGCTTCTCCCACCTCCATAGCTACTACTGTTCATTGGGGGTGGTTTGATCATGTCAACGGAAGCGTCCTCTCCCGTCGGCATAGAGCAGCTACATAAGAGATCTTACAGCGGCGCAGCTGCCTCAGTCCAGCTTTGCCTCTGTAAGGTCTCTAGTTCAGACATAGCCAAATATCTAAAGAACACAGGTAAACTAAACTGGCCGTGAAACCGGAGGTGACAGATGTTGAGCATCATAGGATTTACATTTCCAGCTTTAATCATCTTAGTTTTTTGACATTTTAGGAACAAAAGCCTACAAAATAAAGGTAAAGTTTACAATAAATATTTAAACCTCAGCATTTTTATCAAACCTTCAGTTGTATTTTGATGTAAATTCTGCTTGCCTGCAGCGTCTGTGCATCATCTCGACTTGGTAAATGAAATTCCTTTAGACCGCCAGTCTGAAATAATGAATTGTTCCCCTGGTTAATTGTATTGCTTTGATAACAAGGAACTGTGCTGGGCCTAGAGAACACAATAAGTAAATTTCATCAGATGATTTGTGTGACGTTTTGAAAAATGATCTTCTGGAGTGACCTGATTTTAATGGAACTCTAACAGCATGCCAACGTGTCCCAGTATGAAGCATTAGATTTGAAGGAAACATACAGTGTTTCCTGTATGTTAGTTATGCAGAATGGGCTGAGCAGCATGCAACCAAGCATACTAAAAAAAAAAAAAAAAAAAAAATCACATAAGAATAATTGGAAGATGTGTTTTCTTCCTAATATACAATCCATTTAACGTACTAGCTAAGCCTAGCTGTTAAACACAGAGTAACATATAGGGAAGCATCAAAAATGTCACTTAGATTTTATCCCCAGCTTTAGTAACACTAGATACGCTAATGTTTTAAAGGTGCCTCAAAGGTATCTTATAATTTCATATATCAGTGTCCAATTTTAGGGATCGCTAACTAATGCCAGGAAATATATATGTGTGTGTATGTGAGAAAAATTACTTGCATATCCTGAAACATAAAAATTATAACAGCACTTAACACTTCTACAGAATATAGCACTTTGCATTTTCAGAGTTGTATGCACGTTAACTAATTAAATCTTGCAACATCCTTGTGAGATAGGGAAGATACTATTACAGTTTTGGATTAGCACAGAATTTCCAGTATATTGGCAATCTGACCCGCTTGGTTTCTTTCTGGCAATGTATTTGGCATAAGTAAAGCAGACTGTAGAGTCATAAAGAAACACTGAAAATTATACCTTTTCACTTATAATCAGCTAGGTGATGCAGTGAGATAATGTGTGAGGAATTACACTTAAAATTGGATTTTGTGATAGATCCATGTAAAAACAATAATACATGTTATTTGTTACAAATACTGGAAGCTATTTTAAAAAGTCCTAGAGTGGATTAGCAGTGGCACTATCTGCAACTAAGGTGCATTAAGTGAGCTTTAAGGAGAAGCCTGTACTGTGTTTGTCCACACTATTTTAATTCGTTATGGTTATATTGGTCCCTGAATGTTGTGAAATCAAGAATCAGTTACTCCATCAGAGTTTGAAAAATAAAACAATGTGTTTTTGTGACCTGTTGCTGCTAATATTTTACATAAACTATTACCATCATGTTTTACTATCAGTTAACAACCCATCTATAATTTCTCTGATTTTATGTCTCCTATGATAAGACCTCTGATATACCGAGATCAGATCATTTTTCATTTTCATCCTTATTTTTAATTCCCCAAAGCCATTAACAATTTCACACCACTGGCCAAGCGAATGGGACAAGTTTATAAAGAAAGTACATGTTTTGTACTAAAAATGTCTATCTGTTTTGCTGAGGCTGTGTTTAATGGTTTTCTTAAAGCTGGTCTCTTTCTTTGATTAAAGCTATTTGGACTAAAAACATCCTTTGATTACAGTTCTAGTGAAATATTGTAAAACAACTAGTTTACTTCTTCATTCTACTATGTTATCACATCTGTTTCCCTTTAAAATATTAGGCTAATTCTGTTTTTATGCAGATGAACTCCAGTATTAAAGTTACTTGCTGTGTAAAAGGTTTGTAGATGCTTACAAGTTGTCTATCACTTTTTCTTGCACTTGGTTTTCCACAATCCATGTAGCTTTTACTTTAGTACGTATATTAGGAAGTCACAGACACCAAGTATGGACAGTCTGCAAGCCTACCAATATGTTTCTTTGATAAACGAGTGTTGCAAGGTTCCACACAGTATAATTGAAAACAGAATTTGGCCTGAAGGCTTTATTTGGTTTCTACCATGCTCACACCGTTTACAAAAAATTACAAGTTTCTTTTTGTTGTTGTCATTTATATTACAGTAGCACCTAAAATCTCAACTGAACGCAGGGCACCACTGTGCTAGGCACTATGGAAACACATAGTAAGAGACAGTCCCTGTCACAAAGAATTTCTGTCTACATAAACAAGACAAACAAAGAAAACAGAGGCACAGAGTGGTGAAGTGGCTTGCCCAAAATCACATAGGAGGTCAGTGGCAGAGAAAAGATGGAACCGAGGCCTTCTCATTTCCAACCTAGTGTCCTATCACCACACCATACTGCCTTTCCCCCCTCTTTTGGTCCCAATTACAAGAAAAACATCTTAGATAATAGGAAAATGTTTGTTAGCTTCCCATCTCACTTTGAAATAGCTGATGACTTGCTGGAAAAGTACAAAAGACTGGACATGAAAGGAACCAACACAGTGCTGTGGAAGTCTTCTCACCACTGGGCACTAAATTGTGTTTTGTTTTGTTTTTTTTTTATTTTTCTTACAGGTCTTGCAATTGCAAGTGCCTTGATAGACATTTCCCAACAGAAGCCTGCAGACAGTAAAGATAAGAGTTCAGGAGTCAGAAATCGAAAACATCATCTTTCAACACGTCAAGGAACTTGTGTGTGAGGTCCAGAAAATGCACTTGTACATTCTGTAATGTTTTCCTTTTAAATGGCTTCCATTGAAAGCTATACTACAGCCTCAGTTTTTCTGGAGGCAAACCTATGGATTATGATGATGAAGATGATGATGATGATAAGTAATGTGTCCTGTTATATTCACACTTGCAGCCTGCTATTCCCCACAGCAGAACAACCTTATGGCAAATATGAGTCTATTTGATGAGTTTATTTAGAAATAAACTAAATACTTGTCTTGATGCTGAGTATATATTGAGGTGGGGTGGGCATTGAGTACATCTAGGAAAGACTACACATTGTTTTGTAATGTAGAAGGAAATTGTATAATTGAAAACTAAACTATTCACAGGACACTAAAAGACATTTTTGTAGAGCTTAATGTAATGGTGAGAATTGTATGGTTTTCTTCTCTTAATTGGAGTTAAAATACCCTTACAGAAAGCAGGAACTGAAGATGCTGTTGTGGATTTAGGGGTTGTTTTATCATTGCCCAAATCTGAAGGTAGATTTTGAATTAAGCAGTATGTAGGTGTAGCCAAGCAAAACAGCAAATATATATTTTGATGATCATATCATATAAAAACCTGATTAAAGCATATCATGGTTTTTTTTACCTTCTTAAAGGCCCTGACATGCAGTCTGGGCTACAACAGGATGATGGGTGGACTTCAGTATTTCACTTCATAAGAAGTTTATTAGAATTCTGACTGACGTGTATTGTAAAGAGTACATGTTGGTCTTCCATATCAACTAATTATCAGAGCTGATTGAGCATGAAAAATTCTATCCTGAAATCAAGTTTCCTTTTTTTCCAAAAGCTCTCTCCAAGATTGCAAGCCTAAGGAGAATTTAACTTGCTGTTACTTTGCAGTAGTATACTTGCTTCTGCTTCAATACTGTAATATTCTAAAGTGACTGTAAATCATTGTCCTCACCTCCCAGCAAAAAGGTTGCACCTCAAATAGCACATTGACCCATCCATAATAATAATTAATAATAAATTATGATCTTCCTCTGACCTTCCTTTCCCAGCTGCAGAATTTCATCTGATCTTCACTTTCATCCTATTTAAAGAAATATCCTGCATACAAAATTCATATAATAATAAACTTCCAAAAGCCAGCTTGATTCCAACAGTGGTTCTCAGATCATCCATCTAATATGGGACCTCACCAAATCAATGCTCAACAACAAAAAAGCTAACGGAAAAGCATCCTCTCTAGTAGGCATTAGTCTAACAAGCTTTGGGGAGCTTGTTCACCATGGTAAAAACTCCAGCAAACAGCTTCATATGGCCCTCCTCACTGTATTTCCAGTGAGTTATAATTCTGAAATACAGCAAAAGAAAAAGAGACTGTTAAGGGGAGGGAGGTAGCAAATGGGTCTTATTCTCATTTATGCATTAAACGTTGATGATGGTTTATGTGAAACCAATAGTTTTGTTAGCTCTTGCTCGGAAGTGAAGTTTATCACCTCCACCATTGCCAAGGTGCTAATGTAGGAGAGAGCCAGAGAGGTATAAATGCCTCTTGTATATGATAGAGTTTTGGTAAATATGAAAGATATAAAAAAAATTGATGTTTACTACTATAGCTGTATTTTTCATTTTCTTTTTTATTTCAGGAAGGTGATGACATTTTACTGTTTACAGTTGACTACATAGTTACTTGCATGCCATGGTGGTGCAGTAGCAGTAATAAAGCCCTGTTGTGAGTTGATAGTGTTTATTTTGTAATGCCATTCATACATAAAACTATTCCACTTAATTTGGATGAGGACTGAATGTAAAAATTAAATAAATATTAAAAGGAATGGTTGTACAGGATTATTAGGTTGCATCTTACCATGACTGCTATATTGTTTTGACAAATTGTGCATTTATAAATTATGCTATAATTATTCCTTAGCTGGCATGATTGTTTCAGTATTTTCCTATCTTAAAATATGACTGATTCTTAAGCTAAAATAATGCCATCACGATATTGTGTTTTTATTGACTATTCTGACCTCACTCCTTTATTTCTTAAAACCTAAGATTCATTTTTAAAGATTCTTTTGTGAATTTTCAGTCAATGCTACTTAAAACCTGGAAAAAAGAGTCTTCTGAAAATAGCTCCTTCTGTCAGTTTTAATGCAGAACTGCTTGGGTGAAAATAAGCCAGTAGAACTGGTGTGCATGGTGAATTAGCCATTCAAAAAGAAAAGAAATAAACCACTTGTCTGGAAATTTTCCTTAATTCTGTAATATCTTTCTGTCGAAACATTACACATGAGAAATGTACATTTCTTTGTGTGTACCTGAGACCCATGGTACCCAGGGCATGTATTCTACAGAGCAATTTCTCTGACTGGAATCCCCCAAGTGGGAATTGCATCTACCTGTAGTCACCTGGAGTTTGACGTTACTTGAAAAGTAAATTTAAGTTTAAATGGATTATAATGTTTATTGTAGCACTTGAGATGGGCAGGTATTCATTAGGCATTTTATAAAGTTATCAGTTAAAAACATGTTGTTTTTATTGTTCAGATAAAATACCAGTGTCATGGGGTCATTCAACATTTTCATTATATTCAGAGTACTTTTTCTAACACTTCCGTGACCATTCTTCTCCCAGTAATTAGTAAAAGTAAATGCATTAAAGAGAAATATTAATTTAATGGTTGCCATTAAATGGAAGTTTGCAATAGGAATCAAACCACAGTATCTGAGTAACTATGGTTACTTTGTTTTAGATCTATGAAAATACTGATGTGTCTCAGTGCCACACTGTGCCAATTGTTGGCAAATACTGACTCTTAATGGTGACCACAGTACACTGGGTGACAGATATTCTCATTTGCTTTAGGCTCAAGAATGTTCAATGCTCTGCTCCCAGCATATTTTTTGAACTCTGGATCAAATTCAGAAAATGTTGAGTGACCCTTTGTAACTTTAGTGTGATTTATGTTGGACTAAGAATACAGGGCTAAAAACTGATCTGAATAGTGGCCCTGTGGTGAAATTCTGACCATCAGGATTCGATATCTGTATTTATTTTCTTTGCAAACCAGTCATTGATACTACTGGGGGAAAATTCACAGCTATAAATTACTGTTCAAAGCAAAGCAACAGATATATTGCATACTGTAGCATGGGTGAACCAATCTCTCCATTTCTCGGGTGTGTGTGTACCCTCTCATGAAGCTACTTGAATATAGTCTGTGTAAATAAGTTACATTTCAGAATGCAATGAATTCTAGTAATTATATTTCTTTGTAAGAGACAGATGTATATCTTTAACTGGGCAAGTTCAGATTTACATCTGACTGCATTTTTTTCACAGGGGGGCCCTCTATTTATATAGTAGAACCAAAAATGTAGAACATTGGAAAAGTTTGGATCTTAATATATAGAGTCTGATGTATAAAATCAGCAGCAATGATTATTTTCCCAAACAATTTACACTGTAGGTCTGGAATCCTGAGGGTAAGAATTTTGGGATCACTTTAACAACGGTTAAATTTTTAGGCCTAATAACTTTGACAGTATTCATCTAGATTACACAGTCATTATGTACTTAATTTGATTACCAGTTGTTTTTTTTAAAACCACCTGAAGGGTTTCTGGACAATAAAGGTAAAGTCTCTGTTAAAAATATTAAGCTCTCTCTCGTTTTTCACGTGAGCCATCTAATCAAGATTGCATGGCATTTATATAGGAAATCATCATGAAGACAAATCTCAAATGGACGAAGCGTCCTTGCAGGTCGAGCACCACCTGGTTCGATCTCTGGCTCAGTCCCTAAAATAATCTGGCTGGATGTTCAGTCTCTATTCAGTTATGTAAAAAATAAATGGACCTTAACTTTTCAGCCTCGATGATGCAGCATTTCCTGATGTGAAATACTGATGCTTGCGTCGGCTGATATCTGTAGGAGGACATCTAAGCCAGTAGACAGTAAAGCTATTTTGAATACATCTGACAAATAAATATTGCTTATCGGAACAATAACCAGAACCCTAGATAAAGCCTTTCCAACATCTCAGATTAATGAACATTTTTTCATTTATTTTCCATAGACCTGATTCTGCCATCTTTGCTCACAGTGATCATGTGTTCAGTTGAGTAGAGCTATTTTGTGACCTCTTCTGTGCCAATGTAATGGCGCATCGAGAGCTGTTGCAAACTGGAGCAATTTGGAGCAGGGCCAGAATTTGGGAGTTGCAAAGTGGACCTCTCACCCATACCCAGAGTAAGGAGGGCACAATGGTGAATCTGGCCCCTTGTGTTTCAATTTGGGCATCCAAAATCTGAGGCTAATTTTGAAAATGTGTGCCTTAGCCTTTCTGTGTGTCAGATTCTCTCTCAGTCAAGTTGTGATTTAAACAAAAACAACTCAAAAGGGTATTTTGAGGCTTCGTTTATTAATGTCTGCAAAGCATTGATGCTTTGATGGATGGCACTACGGAAGTGCAAAGCATTACTATTTTCAGTGCAAGTTGGCAGCAGGAGATTTGCTTTCTGGAGAGATCAGCTTGTTTGATTTACAGTCACTGTTTAAAAGTGAAGGCCAGTTGGAAGGATACCATTAACAGCACTTGTTCAGCTTAAAATATTTTTATTTCAGCCACAAAATAAACTTCCTGTAGTGTAAATAAAACTTAAAGCAATGAACAGTAGGATATTCTACCTCTCATGCTTCCTCACTGAAGAGTGTAGGGAGCATCATATTAATGTGAAGGCCACCTCACATGAGTTGGGATACAGAAACCTGCTGTCCACCATTTATTTATACACTATGTACATGCTCAGAAATTTACATGTGCCTCTAGTGGCCAGGGAGATTGAAGTGACTTCTGGGTACTCACTTCAGCAGGTGGGTATTGTAGTTGTAAGAACGCTTGATAGAGATCTTGTAGGTGTTTGTCTCTGTCTGGAGCAAATGTGATTGTATCGTAGAGTTTTTAGCTGTAGACCACACCACTCGATCCATTGTGAAAAAGTGAAAAAACAGATTGACAGAGCCAGATGAGTACCCAGAAGTCACCTACTACAGAACAGGCCCAACAAAGAAAGTAACAGAACGCCACTAGCCATCACCTTCAGCCCCCAACTAAAACCTCTCCAGCGCATCATCAAGGATCTACAACCTATCCTGAAGGACAATCCATCACTCTCACAGACCTTGGGAGACAGGCCAGTCCTTGCTTACAGACAGCCCCCAAACCTGAAGCAAATACTCACCAGCAACCACACACCACACAACAAAAACACTAACCCAGGAACCTATCCTTGCAAAAAAGCCCGTTGCCAACTCTGTCCACATATCTATTCAGGGGATACCATCATAGGACCTAATCACATCAGCCACACTATCAGAGGCTCGTTCACCTGCACATCTACCAATGTGATATATGCCATCATGTGCCAGCAATGCCCCTCTGCCATGTACATTGGCCAAACCGGACAGTCTCTACGTAAAAGAATAAATGGACACAAATCAGACATCAAGAATTATAACATTCAAAAACCAGTTGGAGAACACTTCAATCTCCCTGGTCACTCGATTACAGACCTAAAAGTCGCAATATTACAACAACAAAACTTCAAAAACAGACTCCAACGAGAGACTGCTGAATTGGAATTAATTTGCAAATTGGACACCATTAAATTAGGCTTGAACAAAGACTGGGAGTGGATGGGCCATTACACAAAGTAAAACTATTTCCCCATGCTTATTCCCCCCCGCCGCCCCAGTTCCTCATATCTCCTTGTCAATTGCTGAAAATGGGCCATTTTCATTACCACTACAAATAGATTTTTTTTCTCTCCTGCTGATAAAAGCTCACCTTAACTGATCACTCTCCTTATAGTGTGTATGGTAACACCCATTGTTTCATGTTCTCTGTGTATATATATATCTTCCTACTGTATTTTCCACTACATGCATCCGATGAAGTAGGCTGTAGCCCACGAAAGCTTATGCTCAAATAAATTTGTTAGTCTCTAAGGTACCACAAGTACTCCTGTTCTTTTTGCGGATACAGACTAACACGGCTACTACTCTGAAAACTGAATTTTGATTAAGTTTTTACATTTGTGCTGTGTAAAGGAGCAGGTTAAAAATAAATATAGCAAAAAAAAAATTAAATACATCAGAAGCAAGAAGCCTGCTAAACAACCAGTGGGGCCACTCGACAATCGAGATGCTAAAGGAGCACTCGAGGACGATAAGGCCATTGCAGAAAAACTAAATGAATTCTTTGCATTGGTCTTCACGATTGAGGATGTGAGGGAGATTCCCAAACCTGAGCCATTCTTTTTAGGTGACAAATCTGAGGAACTGTCCCAGATTGAGGAGTCATTAGAGGAGGTTTTTAGAACAAATTGATAAACTAAACAGTAATAAATCACCAGGACCAGATGGTATTCACCCAAGAGTTCTGAAGGAACTCAAATGTGAAATTGCAGAACTACTAACTGTAGTCTGTAACCTATCATTTAAATCAGTTTCTGTACCAAATGACTGGAGGATAGCTAATGTGACGCCAATTTTTTAAAAGGGCTCCAGAGGTGATCCCGGCAATTACAGTCTGGTAAACCTGACTTCAGTACCAGGCAAACTGATTGAAACTATAGTAAAGAACAAAATTGTCGGACACGTATATGAACATAATTTGTTGGGAAGTGTCAACATGGTTTTAGTAAAGGGAAATCATGCCTCACCAATCTATTAGAATTCTTTGAGTGGGTCAACAAGCATGTGGACAAGGGGGATCCAGTGGATATAGTGTACTTAGATTTTCAGAAAGCTTTTGACAAGGTCCCTCACCAAAGGCTCTTAAGCAAAGTAAGCAGTCATGGGATAAGAGGGAAGGTGCTCTCATGGATTGGTAACCAATTAAAAGATAGGAAACAAAGGGTAGGAATAAATGGTCAGTTTTCAGAAAGGAGAGAGGTAAATAGTGGTGTCCCCCAGGAGTCTGTTCTGGGACCAGTCCTATTCAATATATTCATAAATGATCTGGAAAAAGGGGTAAACGGTGAGGTGGCAAAATTTGCAGATAATACTAAACTACCCCAAGATAGTTAAGTCCCAGGCAGAATGCAAAGAGCTACAAAAGGGTGTCTCAAAACTGGGTGACTGGGCAACAAAAAGGTAGATGAAATTCAATGTTAATAAATGCAAAGTAATGCACATTGGAAAACATAATCCCAACTATACATATAAAATGATGGGGTCTAAATTAGCTGTTATCACTCAGGAAAGAGATCTAGGAGTCATTGTGGATAGTTCTCTGAAAACATCTACTCAGTGTGCAGTGGCAGTCACAAAAGCAAACAATGTTGGGAATCATTAAGAAAGGGATAGATAATAAGACAGAAAATATCATATTGCCTCTATATAAATAAATGGTTCGGCCACATCTTGAATACTGCGTGAAGATGTGGTTACCCCCATCTCAAAAAAGATATATTGGAATTGAAAAAGGTTCAGAAAAGAGCAACAAAAATTATTAGGGGTATGGAACGGCTGCCTTATGAGGAGAGATCAATAAGACTGGGACTTTTCAGATTGGAAAAGAGACAACTAAGGGGGGATATGATTGAGGTCTATAAAATCAT